TGAGATTGATTTAAAAAATCTAACTAGCATAAATAATAATTTGATATTTAAATTAAACCGAAAAATATGATTTTTTTTTAATTTTATTTTTATTGTATTTTAATTGTATTTTTTTCTTATAATTTACAAGTCCATAAATTTATTTATTGGATTTTGCTGTTTCAAGTTTCAATTTTAATAATTCATCAATTATTTTTTCATCACGCGCTAATCTAAATTATAATTTTATATCAATTTCTTGAATTTAAAATGGAACATCATTTTTGTTCTACAAATTTTCAGCAATTTTCCCACAAAAAGCTGTACAAGATATTCTTACCTTCTGACGTTCTAGTACTTTTTCTCTTTACAATAAAGTGAAGTTATTTATTACAAGTCACGGTTAATTCGTTGTGAAAGCTTTCTATCTTTATTATCCCAGAGGAATCTTTCCCAGCATGATTGCAAAATTTAAACAAAAAAATTTGCACACCATATCCGTTTTGCGGCACGATTTCTCTAGCACGAATTAAAATCAGCCCCTAATTGCCATCACGCCGTCTCGTGATCGTGCTGCTCATCATCATTTGTAATAAAGAAAACTGCATTGATTAATTTGCATTGCATCTGGTGCACGAGACCACTTTTCCGCTGCACGCAACTATCTCTTCTGCGATGCACTCGCGGATATCCGTTTTCGAGCTGCATACTGGGCGTTCACTTTTACAAATGCACTCGGGCCGGGAGAATTTATTATCATAGTAATTCTATTTATGCGGCAATCAATTCTCTAGGTCGATTCATTCACGAAGAGGATGAAGAAGGCAGAAGAAGAAGAAGAAGAAGTGCAGCTCAATATAAAATGCACGCGTGCTCTCCAAAGTGAGACGAGAACGAACAACACAACCTGTTGCTCTCAATTTATATATAAATGCAATAACAACAATAATCATCATTTACAATTCTCGTCAGCAGCTTCGCAACCACAACGATAAGTAATTAAGCGACATGTGGACGTCCTATTATGGGGAAACACGCTTTAAACAATTAGACCGTTCGAAGGCTTGAGAGGGGAAATTTCTCAGTTTAATTAAATGTGCTATAGGAATCTGAGTAATGCATTAACATGGTTAGTTGATTGATTGAGACTTGATACATAAATTACTCCGATCAAAAGTAATTTATTTGGGAATAATTATTAAACCAAATAATGCATTTATTAAAAAAGTTATTTTTATTATTTGTTTATTCCTCACTAATCTAGGAAAAGAAAAATAATCAATAAATTAAATAAATATAAATAGATAACATTTTAATAAATAAACACAATAATAAAAGAGCTAAACAATACAGAGTAATAATTTGATATTCTTGGAGAAATTAACTTTTATTACTCTTATTTATTTAAATAAATTAAATCGCTTTAAATTAATTTTTTATTATTTTGACTATGGGTTCTAATAATTGAAAAAGGGGTTGTAATTATATAACAATTATAGAGCTGAATGTTTTTTTTTTACATCAAGTCAGAAAAAAGCTTAAATTTTGATAAAAAAAAGGACTTAAGTTTACAGTCTGTGGTGTGAACAAGTTAAGTAGATTAACTTGTAGTTGCACAGCTTATCAAAACTGCCGTGCTTTGGATTTGCGCAAACAATCAACAACGTATTAGGCGGCGTCGGCCCTGTTGCTCTCGACAATACTAATAAATTCACCATCCATCACTACGGAGCACCCGGCACAGAGCCGTGATTGATGGAGTCACTTCTCGGCGCCGAGGGCCGTTTGGAAAAAGGTGTCGCTAATCGCTCTATTATGGAGTTTTGCATTTCAATCAACGGATTGCGTGCTTTGCTGTTTTCCCGCCGCGCTCCCCGTCGCGAAACCGGGTCAGCTTCTACATACGTGCACATCAAGTAATTACTGCCGTTGTGTGCGTTAATTGCACCTGTTTTCGTCGCACCGTCGCCGTATTTGCGCGTTCAAGGGAGCTAGACTGACGTTTGCCATAAATTAAATTAAATTTTTTTTCTCAATTTGGACTATATTTATAAGTGGATCATGTGAGTTTGTTGATATTCCTGGACTTTTGCGAGTTTGAAAAGTAAAGGAAAATTAATATTTTGGAGACGAATTTCGGTAATAATATTTAATTTAATTTACTCTCCACTTATTTAAAATTATTTTATTTTTAAAAACGAATAAAAATTTCATGAAGTTAATGAAATTCAAGAATTATTTTTTTTATTAAAATAAAGTTATTCAAATAGATTTTCAAAAGCGTCACAAACAGAAATAAAAGACATTTTAAAATTAAATTAATGCATCGTTCCCTTTCAATCTGTTTTATAGATTTTTGTGTATTAATTTTTAACATTGTTTTATTCTTAATCTGGGCAGATATTTGCTTTGTTTTAAACTAATAGAGCAATAAAAAATAAAGAATATATTTATTTATAAGCATTGCAAAAAAAATCAATATTGCCATTTTAAGGTAAACATATTAGGTTTAATTTTTAATTTATGACTGGAGGGTTACATAACTCTGCCTAAAAGTCGAGAAGGCGCGAATATAGTGGGTTTTCTGGTTGTTACATAACACCTCCGCACCATGGAAATGGTGTTATTATAAATTCGTGAACGGAAACGGCAAAGATCCGGATGTAAATAGTCCACCGCTTATCACAGTGCTATAATATAAAGAACAAAAATGAATGTAAATTTGCTGCCCTTTCAGATTTAACCATTTGACTTATATTCTTGCGTTGGCTCATTGATTTGTGACGAGCCCGCTTTTTACGTCATTATTCCGGTTGAGGTGCTCCGAGATCAGGCAGGCTTTTCAAATAATTCCCGAGTCATCGCGGCGAATGATCAAGTCGTCAGCATGGACAAAAAAAAATAAACGCCCGATCCATCTTTTCTCGCATTTGAGCCGGTGCTATTAGCGGCGGAAAGGAACTGATGCGTCTTCTTCCCACACCCTCCAGACGAAACGGGATCATTGTCCTGATCCCCTTGCAGCAGACAAACAAATCTATCTCTTTCCAGCCAGGAGAGAAAAACACGCGCACCTAGAATGGAAAAAAAATAATTTAATAATAACGCCTAGGAAAATTCGGGCACTCTTTTCGAGTAGCAGGAAATGCTGCTGCCGAAAAAGTAAACAAACTTTCTAAATTTACCCCCGGCCTCGATTTCTGATGCATCTTTTGTCTTTTGGCAGCGCGCGCGCGTGTGTCACCGTGTCTTATTATTGTTATGAGGCATGTGATCGCGAAACCGAGTCGGGAATGTCGTTTCGCGCGCGTGACGTGTCCGCCCGTCCGACGGAGCTAAAGGTTGGACGCCGTCCAGCGAGACACAATGCTGACTCCGCACCCCGCTACGCCACGACCGAAATTTAAATCCGTCACCCACGCTCGTTGCTTGCGAAATCGCTCGGGTGGAGCTCCGTAATTGGATGCAGAAACGTTGTTTATTTCTCATTGTTATTATTTATTCTATTTTTATGTTGCTTAATAAATTTAAAATGTAAAAAGTAATATAATTTAAAAAAAAATCCCCAACATTTTTTTTCCAATTTAAAATTTTTTTGTATTGACCGAGAAGAATAAATAATAATAATAATACTATAAAAAAAATGCAAGCACACAACAATTTGATTTGTAATCAAGGCGTATATTAGTACAATCGCTAGACTGGTGAAATAAATATGTTCTCAAAATAGGTGACTTTTCAGTATGTTATTTGAAAAAGTCATGGTTTCAATAGTTAATATTTAAAAATTAAAAAAGGAAAACAAGATAAATCGAAATAATAAAAGTAAAAATAAATTAGCTGAATTTTTTATAATTTTATTTTTATTTTAATTACTAATAAAACCACTTTAAAACTTTTTAAGTTATGAACAAAAACTTTCTCATTACAACTGGTTAAAACAGTAATATCGCATATTACAATGCGAAAGCTCATCCGTTTTGCTAAAACCACTTTCGTCATAAAAACAACACGAGATTTCTAGAAATTTCCGCTTTTCCGCTCTACAAGTGTTCAAAATTTTAAATGTGAGACATTCTGTTGGCAAATTTTAATTTTGAAAATAGTGATTTATTTCATAACTTTTTTTCCTTATTCCAAATTAAGGAATTTAAGAAAGTTTTTTGTTTTCAAATTTATTATTAACACAAAAACATGTTGCTCGTTTTTCTTTATAATTATAAAATTTGCAATTATTAAGATCTGCTGCTTATTGTTATTTTTCTTCAATGTGTTTCTTAATAAGCGAAATGTTTTTGGTCAAATATATACATTTGATTAAGTTTGGCCATGAATTTGAAACTGAGTGGCACAAAAATGATGCCAACGTGCAAAAATGCAAGGACGTGCGGCGTGTATTGTGAAACAAACATAAATCGGACGCGGATCTCGCCGTCGACGAGTCACGTCCATCAAATAAATCAAGCTTTCCGTTCACCGCTTTAATTAGTCGACACACATTGTTAATTTTCGCTACGAACTTTTCCACCTTTTTATGCTAATTTATTTGCACCTCAGGTTGCACGTCACCTTTTATTTCTTCTTTGGATTATTTATTGCTGTTCCAACACGCAAAGTTCACTTGTCGGGCTGTTTTTTAATTGCGCACTTACATCTCTGCAGCACACGTTTCGAACCGCGGCGCAAAATCGGCAGATCCATCTTATGAACGCGCTGATCGACTGAGAGTTCTGAACGTCTGAGCATTTAGCAGATATTTGAATTTGATGGTTTCATTAACCCCGATCGGCGCGGTGGCGAGCGCACCCCGAAATAGCCGCACTTCAAAATTAAGCGAAGCCGCGACGATTTTGCCAACAATAGCTCACTTTGAGAGCCAAACCTAATTGCAAACTGTGGCGACGTCGGCGTCGTGTGCTTCATCGCTCTGTACTCTCTTGCTTGCCAAAATTACATTTAACCTTTTTTTTTTAAATTTATCTATTTATATTTTTAATAATTCGTTTCCCGTTTTGTTGCAGTTTCGAGAGGAATCGTCCACTTCGACTGAGGTGCAATGCAGCCCATGGGCCTCTTCAGACCCACGGCGCTGCTCGTTTGCGCCTCCATTCTGCTAATTTGTATAGCGGAGACCTACGCAGACACCGCCATTGGTGGCCAGAGATGTCTCACAGACGTCAGAGGTCAGTATTTTTATTTCTTCTGCTGATAATGAATAAAATTGCAATCACTCCACAGATATTAATTTATAATTTGGATTACAAATTAAATTTTTTCTCTATTTTTACTCTTTCTTTGAATACTTGCAAGTCCAGCTGTTATTAAATAATCATTTTTGATGACATTTTAAATCTGTCAGATTGCGTGAAGAAAGTGAAAATTATTCTTTATTTATTAATTTTACTCCCAATTATAATATATTAAAATATCAAGTCACCCTTTGTGAATGGTTATTATTGTTTTTATAATTTAATTAGTTCAAATCATTTACGTATCAATTGTGTGAGATGCGTAGATTCCCAGAATAAGCACGAAAATAATTCAAGCCTGGAACGTTGCGTGTCAATGTCAAAACAGAAGCTAGCTTTCAATCCTTTTCCCCCTAGTTGCAAAACGCAATAATAGACTTCACACGCAACGCGCTTTCGCTCTGTGCTGCGCAGGTTGCATAACCGTAATTGAAGGACGCTTTTCCTTCATTGGATTTTCCTTTTCCCGATTACTGACTAAAAGAAATTGAAGGTTTTTTTAGAAAAGGAATTTATAAGAGGGTTTGATGGGTTGTTATAAAATGTGAGTCCTCGGGCTGAAAGCTTGTCGAAAAGGTACAAAGACCTCCTTGTGGGTTTGTTTTCTTTTGTCATTTTTTGGTTTTCCCCGAACTGGATTATCTTTGCTCAAAAACATGCCCCAGAAGCGATCGGCGGTGGTCATTTCCTGTCCTTGTGCGCATTCTGCATGCCACTTCCTTCCGAAGCCGAAAATTAAGACTTTTTTACGCTCAAATTGTGGTTTCCTGCGCGCAGATAAAAGCCACTCGCACTTTATTGTGAGAGATTTCTATTTTCCTCCCCTAAAGAAAAGCGACCTTTTTAATCTCGACCGCCACCACGAGTGACAGAAAAGTTTGCCTTTGTCAGACTAAATAAACAGAGCTCTTGATTTGCGCCTGAGAGCCATTTCAGCAGAAAACGTGACCGAAATTTAGAATGAGCGCGAAAACTTTTCACTTAACTTTTCCAACTCCTGTGATTGCAGAAGTCCACCCGAAGCGGTTCCTATTCTACCGGGGGCAGACTCTGGACCTGACCCTTGAGAGCTCGTACCGTCCAGCGCACATGGTGCTCACCCGAGCCTTCTCCATTTTCCTCACGGAGGTCCTCGGCTATCATTCCGTCCGCGTGGTCGACCGGGACGACGGGTGCAACGCGACCATAGCCATCGAGGGTCTGCACAACCCCCTCGAAGAAAACGTCTCGTAAGTACCAAATTCAATAATTATTTCCATTTTAAAACCATTATTGATCAGTTTTAATTTGTATAGAATATTTTGTTCATGATTTCATTTCTTAATTGTTTCTAATAAAGAAAAATTTATATTTTAATATGAACTGTTTTTCGAAAATTTTTCATTTTTGACAAAATTTCTTTTTCGAATTTTTAATATGAATTAAAAAGATCCCTTTAATTTTTATTCTTTTTTGAGTAAATTATAGTATTCGTATAATTGTTCTTTTTCCAATGAAAAAAGTAAAGAAATATTTATTTTATTGAGACCAATTAACTTCAAACATTGATTGGCTGTATGGGAAGTACGGCTCGTAAATTTCAATGATCATATTTCTTCGGACACCGGCTCTCGAAGCAAATTTCAGTGCGATGAAAATAAAGGAAGTCGACAATCACCGAGTGGACCTGCTAGATGAAATAATCTCGATCACGTCATTCTGCTCAAGTGCATTGACTCAAATGCGCAGATTGATGTTAGATCGCTCGCGGTCGGATCCACCACTCGAACAGAATGGCGCAAACAATTTGTGTTGTTTCGGTTCAACCTTGAAATGGGTGCCGACCCGACCGAGTGAGCAAATATTAGCTCAGCGCAGCTGTTGTCGTTGTAAAAGAGACGCGCCACCCTCAATAATTAATTTCCGACCAATTAAATGCTTTTTCAAATTTTTATAAAATTCATATAATTTTTAAATTAATTAAACAAACGATTCGTATTTTTGTCTCCAGACATCCAAAAGCGATGATCAACCTGGAGATTCCACTAACTGCGAATCAAGATTTGCATTTAGCTAGTGGACTTCCTAGGGGCTCAATTGATGTAGAAGACTGTGGAAATACTGGACCAGTTGGAAGGTACAATTTGAACAATATGATAGCACCGAATAAATATAATATTTATTTAATTTTTTTTTAATTAATCTACAATTAATAATTTTATTTTTGGAAATATATCAAATAATTTCTTAAATTTATGTATTAAAAAATAAAAAGATTAAGTAGCAATCGATTTAATTGAATTCGTTAGATTCGCCTGGTACATCCCGACTGGAATTGTGAACCACTTCAAGGGCCAGCAAGTGAACCAACCGCCGCCCGACCATTGGCGCTTGTTCACCAAGCCCGAGTGGACCACAATTTTTGACCAAGACGTCAGTCAATTTGCCAAGTACACAAGAGATTTGAAGACGAAGGACTTTTTCTGCAAGAAGGCCTACTGCGTGGACGGGGTGCACACGCCCGACCAGTGCCAGCAGAACGCCAAGGGCAAGGCCAAGTGCGCCACTCTTCTGGCCGACAAACCAGGTACGCACAAATCGCACAAATAGACCCATCGTGATGCAACCGGTCGCGCAAACAACGCTTTTTAGTTTTTTTTTTCAGTGCTTCGCTTTTATCTCGGAGACGCGTAATTATTTGCTATCATTTTCGGGATTAAATTGTCTCGTTTTTCGCGGAACGCTTTTCAGGACGCGATAATATTTGACACATTCGACGCTTTATTTTAAATGTCTGTTTGTTTAAAAATTTCTAATTAAAATTCAATAGTTTTATTTCTTTATGAATTTCTTTATGAATTTGAAACCCTCGGAAAACGTTAGAATAGCCGAACGGCAATTTTAAACAATTTTGACACTCAGTTCAGAAGTTCATGTGTAAAGTAATAATATCATGTACTTAAACCAGACAATTATAATATTCTCATTACACATCGTAAACACATTTGATTAAAATTCCTTATCATTTCTTGAAAATTTTTCGGCGCACGATTTTGTAAACAAGTACGAGATAAAATTGTGGACTTTGTCCCTTTAAAAGCAGTCACGCAGCTATTCATCATAAACAACGCAGATAACCTCTTTCGAATCTAACATCAAATCCGACCTTTGCAGAAAACACCGAGTTTGTGGTCAAGCAAATCAGCGCCCTGAAACTTTTTGTCAGGGTGGTCTGGGTCGGGCCTCATTTGGAAATGCTTGCCGAGCAGTTCGCGGACAGCCTGAACTTGTCCGGCTCTCCAAAGGCCGTGGTTGCCCTGAGTTGGCATCCTGGAGCTTTGACCGCAAGGAAAGCAAATAAATACACGACTGTCAGCTTTCCCGCCTGCGAGCCTGATGACCCTTCACCTGCTTGGCCCTGTTACAAACTCACCCTCCACAGATTCGTCAAAGTGGCTTGGAGGCCCCTGAAGGATAATGCAAGAGTTGCCTATGAGGTAAATAAAATAAATAAATTTTTGCGATTAATAATTCTTGTATTTTTATTGTTCTCTTTTTCTTTGTAAATTACTTTGAGCTTTTAATATCTAAATTTGGGCAGAGATTGTCAATTTATATATCATTAAAGCCAAGTAGCAAAATATATTTCATTTTCAAATACAAAATTGTTTTAATCTGGATAAAATATACATAATTATTTTGGAAATTCTAATGAAATTAGTTATATTAAAATTTTGATGATGTAATAATTTTTGTTATGATTTTCAGGCTGTGCACAGATTCCAACTGAACTCCACCGAGTACGAAGCCATCTTGGCCAAAATTCCAAACGAAAGTCCCATCGAAAATTATGAAGGCATCGCCTGTGAATGGATGAGAGCCAATTACGAGCTCTGGCGCAACTGGGTGCCCAACGATGACTCAGAGCGGACAAAAATCTACATCGGAGGCATTTTTCCCATGGGTGGCGATGTCTACACAGCCAGGGGTATTATGGCAGGTTCGTCTCTACATATAAATGTTAATAATTCAAAATATTTATACAAAATGTTGACAATTTCAGCCGCCTGGATGGCGATCACGGCTGTGAACAATGACACGAGAGTTTTGCGAGACTACTCGTTACAATTGCACGCCTTTGATGGCAAATGCCAAGCAGACACTGTGATGAAAAGCTTCATCGACTACATCAGGCTGCCCTACTACAAGCAAATAGCTGGAATTCTCGGTAATTGAAAATAAATAAAATAAATTATTTAAAAAAAAAATTATTATATTATTCTCCTAAAACCATATAACTTTTGTATTGCTAGGCCCTGCTTGCTCCGACACTGTGGAGCCGTTGGCTGGTGTATCGAGGCATTACAAGACAGTCATCATTAGCTACAGTGCTGAGGGCTCCAGCTTTTCAGATAGAGAAAAGTACCCCTACTTTTTCAGAACAATTGGAGAAAACAAGCAGTACAAGTGAGTGAAGATTTCTGCCGTGTAATTACTTTATTTGATTAAATTGTCATTGTAAGGTATGTTTACTTGAACTTGCTTGAGAAACTTCGGTGGAAAAGGGTGGCAGCGTTGACGGAGGACGGCCAGAAGTATACAGAGTACATCTCCCACATGCAGGACTACATGCAACAAAATGGAATTGTTTTTGTTGCTAATAGAAAGTTCCCGCGAGAACGTGGAGAGCTCGCAATGTCACAGGTAGGAAAGGATGGAAAATAATTGATTATTTAAACAATTCAAATGAGCATTTTTTTCTCAAATCAAAATTAAATGAAACCAAATTGTATATTTCATCTCGAATTTCAGTACTTGGAGGATTTGAAGAGCAAATCTGCTCGCATCATCATTGCTGACGTTTACGATGATGCGGCTCGAACTGTGATGTGTGAAGCGTACAGGCAAAAGATGACTAGCAAACAGGGCTATGTCTGGTTCTTGCCTCTCTGGCTGCAATCTCGATGGTACGACACCGACCACTTCAACAAGAGGAAAAATGAGACTATCCAGTGCACCACGGCCCAAATGATCGAGGTACAATTATCGATGATTTCAATTAATTTGATATGTATTAACTGAATGGTTATTGTAGGCAATCAACGGCCACCTGGCTCTGACCCATGCCTACTACGCACCAGACTCTGATGCTATGCAGGAGGGAATGAGTGTGGGCGATTGGAAGAACAAGTACGAGCAGAAGTGCAAAAGCAAAAAGGTGGAAATGTCCAATTACGGTGGCTACGCTTATGATGCAGTGTGGACCTACGCTTACGCACTGGACAAACTCTTCCATGAAAACCAATCGTATGCTGCTGATCTTCACACCGCATTGGCCACAAAGTAAACAAACCCTTTTCTAAAACTTTTGTTTTAAATTGCTGATATCATTTGAATTCTAGGAGTTTTGTTAAGCATCTGAGTGATACAGACTTCAACGGTGTGTCTGGCCACATCAAATTCAGGAATGGTCCATCTCGAGTGTCCGTAATCCATGTAGTCCAGTGGCTGAACAATTCCACCTACATTGTCGGATCCTTCGAGCCCAACGTCTCGGAGAGCAAAGGCGAAATTATAGGCGGACGGTGAATATTGCCATTTTCAAATTAACTATTTCCATCTAATTTTAAATTTTAATTTCAGCTTGGATTTGAATATAACTGCATTGCGGTGGTTATCTGAAGATGGCAAAATGCCAGACGACGGCACGGAACCGCCTCCTTCATGTTTTGTCGCTCCGATTGCTGATTTCTTTAACAGTTCCTGCGAGACTGCAATTATCATAGCTAACTTATTAGGGTTCATAATAGTGTCATCCATGGTATTTATCGTCTTCTTCTACATGAAAAGGAGGTAAATCGCAATCTGGATAAAATGTCAACAAAAGACTTCAACATTTTTATTTCTGCAGATACGAACGACAAGCCAAAAAGTATATGCAATCCATGGGAATCGATCTCCTGCCTTCTGCCAGCTCCTTGGACAAGTGGGAAATTCCCAGAGAGGACGTTGTTGTCAACCGAAAATTGGGAGAGGGCGCCTTTGGCACTGTCTACGGTGGTGAAGCTAATTTGGCAGACAAAGGATGGGTCAGTTTTTTAGCTCCTATTCAAAGTTTGCATTTTGCTCACATTGAAATTTCAGGTTGCCGTTGCTGTGAAAACTTTAAAAATGGGCTCCACGACAGAAGTCAAACTTGACTTTTTGAGTGAAGCTGAAGTTATGAAGAGGCTTGACCATCAGAACATTGTAAGGCTGCTGGGCGTTTGCACCAAAAATGAGCCTGTGTACACAATCATGGAGTTTATGCTCTATGGTAATTTAGTCCAATAACTGAGTCGTGCTAGAGCTAATATTTATCCTCTCCTTAGGTGATCTTAAAACATTCCTATTAGCACGTCGTCATTTAGTTACTGAAAGGGGTTCGGAAGAGAATGAAGAGATCTCCAGTAAGAAGCTCACAAACATGGCGCTGGACGTCGCACGAGCTCTTACCTACCTGGCCGATCTCAAATATGTCCACAGGTTAGAGAAATTACTTGTAATTTTGCATAGAACCTCCAAAACTTAGTTGAACTTAATAATATGTTAAAAATTTTGAAACATTTTTGTAACACAAGCTTTATTGTGAACTTACAGGGATGTGGCTTGCCGTAATTGTATGGTGAATGCGAACAGAATCGTCAAGTTAGGTGATTTTGGAATGACCAGGGCCATGTATGAGAGTGACTACTACAAGTTCAACAGAAAAGGTCAGTGGAGACTTTGCTCTCGAATAAGATGTTCTCTAAAAAAGTAAAAATTTGTGTTTCCAGGGATGTTGCCCGTCAGATGGATGGCGCCTGAGAGTCTTGGCCTGGGCATTTTCACGCCTAATTCGGACATCTGGTCTTACGGAGTGCTGCTGTACGAAATCATCACATTTGGCAGCTTCCCCTTCCAGGGCATGAGCAACAGCCAGGTTCTGGAGTTTGTCAAGAATGGGAACACGCTCACCATTCCTAAGGGCGTCAAACCCAACTTGTAAGTTGAATTAATATCTTTTTTATTCAACACTTTAAATTTAATTATTTACAAATTCTTTCCCAAAATTGGGACCTTTACTCCAATTAAACATAATTATAATTTCAAGAACATAATTTAATTTAAAAGTAACAGACTTTGGTGCACACTTTCCCAGTGAAAGATCATTTTGAATCCTCCATTTTCCTTGGTTAATCCTGAACTTTTTATCAACCGCAATCTTTTATTTTATTTAAATCTCTTTGTATAATTGTTAACAGGGAGATGTTGCTGAGGGCGTGTTGGGCGCAGGACTACAAGAAGCGCATCAACGCGTCGGAGGTGGTCGAGTTCCTTGCCAACAACCCCAGGTTAATTGCCCCTTGTCTTGACGTGCCGCTCGCCTCTGTCCAGATGGAGGACACTGCTCAGCTAGAGCTGAATCTGCCCGAAAAGTCCCGCAAGTGTTCCGTCTCTCTGAACAAAAACAGGCAGCGCTCGTTGTCCGGCGGCGGCGCCGCCACCACACCCAACTCGCCAACCTCCACTTTTGACGCCGAACCAAAACTCTCGCGCTCGGCGACGAGCCACGACGTGCAGTACCCCCTCATCCCTGGGCCCCCGAGCAGTGGTCCCCGATACCCTCCCACGTCAGCCGCCCCTCCTGCCCCTGACACTGTGCCATTGCTGCCAACGCAGGTCGTTGACCAGCCCCCCTCCTTCAGCGTGAATGTGCCCATGCTGCCGCCACCCCCGCGGCCCGGAGACTTCATTGAGAATGGCGGCGCCTACATGACGCCCAGAAGACTGCCCATTAATAAATTCAACTCGGCCTTCCCGACAAGGAGAAAAGACGACGCGGCCGAATTCACCTCGGTCCTGTAGCTCAACGCCAGCTAGTCTCCGTTTTATTGACACACATTTTTTTTTTCGTCGGCAGTGCATGTTTTACACAAATTTCATTTTTCTTTTTTTACAACGTCCTCCCAGGGTGTAAGTAACGACCGCAGTGCCTGAATTGATGCCTAGTTTTAAGTGAGCCGATTTTTTTTTGCAATGACAGATAATATGCCAAAATTTTAGAACTTGACCTTTGAATTTAAATTTATAAGATATTCAAATATAATTTTAAAGTCTTTTAAAAATTATTTTTCTTTCATCGGACGCTTCAAAGAAACAGCATTAGATTTTTATACTTTTTGACTATAAAATTTACATTTTGATACGCAACAAGGCAAAAAAGATGCATCACATTTATAAATTTAAGATAAATCAGAATTCTTTTTTTTTTCTTAAAAGTTTTTAACCTTTTTGGGCATTTTTTTAAACTCTGGATGGACACTTTCATCAGTTTTGGCACAATAGCTTCATTCAAGTCAATACTCATTAAAAACAGCCATGGCAATTATCATGAACCAAACCAATATAAGCTTACCATTTAAAAAAAAAAATCAATAATACTATTCAAATATTTAGAGTTCCTCACTCGTAGAAACTGTTTTTAAGCTCTTTTTTTCCTCTAAAACAATATTACAAGTACAACCTCTGTGCATAAGAGTTGCATCGAATGCATGATAAATATCGTAAAAATATATTATATCATTGTTGGATGTTCATTTATGGCCCGCTATTATAAATGTTCAACGTTGACGAATCTCCTAACCAAAAAATATTTATCGCCCACTTGGGTATTTTTTGATTACTTTGCATGCAGAACAAAATAATAGGCCCAAAATTTTTGCTGCTGAAAACTAGACGATGAGGAATCACGGAATGTACCTGAAGTATATTTTAAAATCAAAACGTAGTAATACAAAACTATTAATATTTAATCATGATAATATTGTTAGACGGACTCGATATGAAAAGAACGTGTAATTGTAAGGATTTAATTGTAATTGTGGATGTGTGAATTGGACATCACATCAATATTAAATGCATATATCTCTGTATACCGCTGCTAATCTGATAATATAAAAAAACATATACGTATCCGTCAAGCACTGATCAGAGGAAGGATATTTTATCTATTGTTAAAGATGTATTTGTGCGTTGGAAGAAGCATTACGGAACGATAATTATACGAACAGAAATGGGTTTTTCTATAATTCTGTTGCAAAATGAATTGCGTCCTTCATCATTTACTGTAAAAGTAGCATCGAGCAAGAATTTTGTTGCATCACATTGAAATGAAAATGACTGAGTATCCCTAGTCGCAAGCGAGAAAATACAAAAGGAGATTGACAGAGAGAGAAAGAGAGAGTGGGGTGGAATCAAACATTTGATTTTTTGCTCAGTTACAAACATCATTGTATGAAGAATTCACAAAAATGCTGCCTCTGATGGCACGATTGCGAAATTCATCAACCTTTCAGCAAATTGAATGAACTGCTCTGTATATAATTCAAGATATGTTGTAACAATTTATGGTATCAAAATAATATATTTGTAGTAAAAACTTCCAGTGTTTTATTCCTTTTAGAAAAAAATACCCGCGACTTCTCAAAAAATGAGTCTTTTATTTCAACCACAATAATTAATAACATAATATTCTCGTACAATAACTTAGAGCCATGAAGATTGTGAGAAAATTAAAAATGTCTAACTACGAGAAAAATTAACAGCAGCACAACGGCTTTTACTTTTTTAAATCAAGAATTAGTTCATCATGCAATGGAATGGTTGCACATCCCTTTCAATATTATTTTTACGGTACAAAAAAGGTATAATCAATCATCTGCTCTCAACAAATTCACTTTCACTTCCAAGTAAGTCTCTTTTGGGATTTTTAGGGATTGATCTGTTTTGATGATTTTCTTTCGTTTTTCTTTCATGAGCGTGGTTGTGATTCATTACGAGCGGGTGTACTTGCCCCAGATGTGCAGCATAAAGACGGAAGCAATGAAGAGCAGAGACATCACCAGCACGGGAACGGGGCCACTAAAAGAAATCAATCAGTCAATTTAAATTAGCTTGTCATTGCATTTTATTTTTAGAGAATATTGAAGCAGGAACATTATGGTTCCTGAGTAACGTTAAGTATTGAAAAAGTATTAAGCACATTACAGGAATAATTAATATTATCTTGAAAAAAATTATTTTAAGTGTCAATTAAATGTATTTTAATTTTTTTTAACTGATTAAAAACAAATTTTTACCACAGGACTTAAAATACATGTTTTTTTATGATGCCTTAGCTTCAAAATAAAATCTTACACTCTGATTCCAGGAGAGTCATCGGTGTAGAAACGCCACATTCCACCGCTGTTAGTGCCAGTAGTGCGGGTCCTTGCAGATGTTGTTGTGGTGGTTTTCCTACAATTGGAAAATAAATTAAAGATACATCCAATCCAATAAATATGTAAAAAGTTAAGTTTAAATGGGAATTATGTTCATAGCGGATTTCTTTTCAATTTAAATACAAAATTTTAATAAAAAATGCTCTAATTTTTATATCCAGGTGCTTAGTCTGTGTAAACTGGAGGCAGGTTTGGAGAAAAATCGTAGATCATAGTTTTAAAAAACCAACCTCTTGACGACTCCGCCGCCTCCACTGGAGGCCCGGGGCTGCGCACCGGCCTTCATCGACGGCGACTTGGACCCAACGTTGGTCGCGCTTGCAGAAGCGGGCTAAAATCAGCAAAAAATTGGTCAGAATCGAAAGGAAAAATGCAGAAAAGGTGCGGAAAATCGGGAGGTCAATTTTCCCGCAGCTCACCATGGTGCTTCAAAGTTTTTCCAGCAAAAACACGAGAATGTGGTGCTCACGTCGACCGTCTGCTTCGTGTTTGATTCCTCCACGTCAGCCGGAGAGGAGGAGGAGAGGTCACCAACATGCAACAGTGTTGCCAACCTAGCGGTGACGTCGCGTCTGTCACCAAGAAGGTTGTCACTTTGGCAGCTGGACGAATGGCGGGACATTTTGAAATTTGGGTAAAAAATCAATTTCTTTAAAATACGCTTAATTTTGAACAAAAAGTTGAGTAAAATCACTGAAATTTCATTTGGAAAGAAAAAATTATTTAAATCCAACCATTTCAATATCAAATTAATAATAACACGCCTAATTAGATTATAAAATTGACGGCAACATCGCGCCGGTGTGACGTCACGAATCACTTGATTTGCTTTACTGTCATGCCAAATCCAAAACAAACCCTAAATTTCGAGTTTTGATTCGGACTTAGGGGTGAATTTTGAGCTGCCGCGATGGAAGCGGTGCCCCGACTGCCAATGCTCAGTTTTGAGCTGAAGCAGAGCCCCGAAAACACCGAATTCGGACACAAACTTCGCAGTGTAAGACTCGGTGATTCATTCGCCGACTCGAGATAATGAAAATTTTCTTTTGCATTTCCGCAGTACATTCGAGATTACTATCATGAGGACCCTGAGACCTATTCAAAGGAAATCCACGAGCTGGAAGGTCTTCGGGCATCGGCCATCCGCGTGTCCAAGGACGTGGAGGGCTGCGCCCTCCTCAAGAAATATTACTGCCAGTTGAATTTTTTGCTGAGCCGATTTCCAATGCAGGAGGATGGAGTAGCCTGTGCAACTTACTTTTGGTATAAATCAGCACGTTTATTCTTTTTCTACATTTTATGAATGATTTTGAAGTTAAAATACCTGTCTTTAATCCTGATTTCCCAAGACAAAATATACCATCAACACCACAGAATTAATATAATTTTTTTTTATATATTTCAGGATTGACATTTATACCAACATAGTGTACAGCACTTCCTCAATCCGGCACGAAATGGCTTGCATCTTGTACAATATCGGCGCTCTCCATTCCCAATTGGGCAGTTTTGACAATCGAACGACGGCCGACGGAATGAAAATGTCCTGCACACATTTTCAGTGTGCTGCCTGGTGCTTTCAAGTAAAGTCCACATCCATTTAAAATGTTTTCAGAAGAAAATTTTCATTATTTTTTTTATAGCAAATGAGGGAAACTCTAGGCAGGCCTAAGGGCTCTGACATGTCCCCTGACTTGATGCAGTTCCTCAACTACATCTGTCTTGCCCAGGCGCAGGAGTGCATTCTTGAAAAGAGCATGATGGACAACAGAAAAGCTCTTATTATTGGTAAACTCTGTTTTTTTTTTCATCATTTTCTGTCAAAATTGCAACTATGCGACTAATTTTTCAAATCTAAAAAATTTTTTTTGACAACAAAATTTGATATTAATCCTTGAAAATTTTTGTTCGTTGCAGCAAAAGTTGGTGCCCATGTTGTTGAGTACTACAACTTGGCCCTTGCAATCCTTAACCAGAATTCATCTGACGCAGGTTCAATCCTAGACACCGTTGGTTCAAAACAACACAAAGTATTGTTTACTCAAGTCTGACAACTTTCAGATAATATTTCCTAACATCTTTTCTCAGAATTGGTCAAAGTACATAAACTTTAAGATTGCCTACCACAACTGCGTTGCTCTTTTGTACCAAGGGCAGGCAATGGAAGAGCAACAGAAAATGGGAGAACGCTTGGCCTTTTACCAAGCTGCGGTTGAAAAACTCACCGAAGCTGCCAAATTGTCCAAGGGTCTAGAACTTTCAGACGTAATATTGATTTTCTTCTTCAAGTATTTCATTTTTAAAAATCTACCTTCCACAGGTCATTGGAGACGCACTGCAGTTTACACAGGATGTTGTTGAAGGAAAGCGAAAAGCAGCTTTTAATGACAATGAATACATTTATCATGAGAAGGTGCCTGAAAAGGACAGTTTGCCGCCACTGAAAGGTGCCTCTCTTGTCAAAGGAATTCCGTTCAGCATCAACGATGCAGATGTTTCTGGCGTTGACATCTTCGCAAGGCTGGTACCTCTCAGGGCCCATGAAGCATCGTCAATGTACAGGTTGGTCATAATTTGAATTTTTTTAGCAAAAAATAAAGTTTTACTTTTAGCGAGGAAAAGGCAAAACTTCTGCGTCGTGTTGGTACCCAAGTGGATGAGAAAGACACTGAGCTGAATGCATTTATGTCCTCATTGCAACTTGACACACTCAATGTCGGATCAGATGGAGATCAATTACCAAATGTAAGATTTGTATTGTTTCTCTATTGTAAATAGTATGAAACTAATTTAATTTATTTCTCAGGATTTAATTGAAGCATGTGCTGCACTTAGTGCTCAGCCAGAAGCTGTCAAGGAGCTTGTGAATGCAATGGACAAGCTAGCGGAAACATACCATGAAGTCGAAGCCATGCTTCAGGATATTGACCAAATTCTTAAAGTAATTTATTTTTTATTATATGAATGAAAATTTTTACAAATATTATATCAGGATGAGGAGGAGAAAGAGAAAATCTGGAAAGAAACCTTTGGTATTGACAGGCCGCCCTCCATCGTAGCCACGGAGTTGACTCGAGAGGCCAACAAATACAGAAAAGCTCATCTGGTTGCTGGAGAATCAAATCAAACTCTCCACAAGGCAATGTCATTACATGTGGCCAATTTGAGGACCCTGTGCAAACCTTTGGATGAAATCGCAAACGAACTGCCTCAAACTGTTGGCGCTGGAGCTGAAAGTATTCATTCCAATAGTATAATACAGTCCGTTTGAGAAAAGTTTTATATATATTCCAGCTGAAGAAGATAAAGAGAGTATTAAGGAAGTGAACAATCTGGTTGCCAAAGTCCGCGAGATGAGCACTCAGAGGGCCATGCTTTCGGCTCAGTTGAGGGAGGCTGTATTGAAGGATGACATTACAGGCCAGCTGGTTACCAGTGCTTCTGAAGGAGGCGTCCTGGATGTTTTGTTCGAGAAGGAAATCTCCAAACACCAGCCTCTCGTAAGCTTTATCCAATATTTCAATAAAAAATAAAACTATTTATTGTATTTTGTGATTCACTTTCAAACTTGTTATGAATTATAATCATTGCAGGTTGCTGTAATTGAACAAAACATGGCTGCCCAGGCAAACATTCTGAGAGCTTTGACAGACGCTTATGCTCGTTTCGCACCGTCCCGAAAGGCAGCGAGCAGTGCCAACAGGAAGAGACAGGGAACGATTGCTGCCCTGCTTGCCTCTTTCAATGCCCGAGAAGACCTTCTGGCAAAGGCCAACAAAGGCCTTGAGTTTTACTGCAGACTGGAAACCAGCGTCTCAAAGTTGTTTACGAGGGTCAAGTCAGTGTGCAAGGTGCAAGAGGAGGAGCGTCAGCAACAGCAACGGGCCAGCATGCCTGCCCAGCCAGCAATGCCAAACACTGGGGTCACCTCGGTGGGAAATCCAAAACTGAAAGACTACTTGCAGGTAATTATTTGAGTTAATTTGTAATTTAAAAAAATTGCATTCCTTGATTTTATTTATTTATAACATATAAATTTTCTCAGGCCATGAAACAAGGCGGGCAACCTGCGGCCTTTAATAATGCACCTCAGCCTTCAGCTGCCATCCCACCATCAAGCAACCCTTACTTCTCCCAGACTTACAACCCCATCAATCCTGGCGCCCCTATGCCTTCGGCCACTCCTCCGCCGGTCATCACCCCTGTCAACCCTGCTCCAGGGGAGGCTGTTCAGTGGCCGCCTACTATCAGGCCAAATCCTGTTGGCTCTGAAGAAACCCCGACCTATTGTGCCACCCCACCGGCACCCTCACCTGAGAAGCACATCAACAATTCAACCAATCCGTATCAGCAAGACAACCAAAAGTTCCAACAACCTTCTCACCCCTACACCCACCAGAATCATCTCAACCCAGGGATGCTGCCCAAAGTTAACAACGACGCCCAGCCAACCGTCAGCAACCCTGGCACAACCCCAACCTATTCCTATCCCACCCCCGTAAGCCACTCGTACCCTTACTACCCTCCAGCAGGATACCAACAACCACCGACATCCACCCCTAATAAACCTCCGGCTTCGAATTTCTACCCTCAGCAAAATTACTACCAGCCAAGACCGCAGTACCCTGCAAATCAACCTCAAAATCAACAGTACCCTGCCAAACCCCTGAACAATTACCCCCAGCAGTACTACCAATCTGGTTACAACTATGCTGTGCCTTCGACGAATTATCCAGCTCCGGTTTCTACCCCTCAACCGCCAGCGCAGCAACCTCAAAGGGCTTATCCGTCTCCTGCGCCGACCGTTCCAGTTCCGCAGCCCTCCCCTGTCCAGCAGCCCCAACCATACCAGGGGCAGATCCAAACTCCAGCTGGGCAGGGATACCAGCAACAAGTTCCGCAACAACCTGCTGCAGGAAATGCCGCTGCTTATCCAGCGCCTGCTTCTACTCCCCAGCCAGCGCAAAACTATGGGCAGCAGCAGACAGCAACTGGGCATCCTTATGCTTACACCTACCCTTACAACCAGAGTCCCTCAGCTTACCCCACTCAGCAAGGATACCAGAGTCAGAATCAGTATTCAGGAAATGTAAGTCTTGATAAAATTTAAATCTTCGACAGAAATTTTCTTAAAATTTGCAATTTTTCCCCATCAAACTTTTATATACTTAATGTTCTTTTTTTGAAACATATCTAATTATATTAATTACTTATTCTTTAATTTTCTATCAGGCTGCTTACAACACGTCGTCTCCTAACAATGCCACGCATAGCCAGTATACGAGTGCTGGCAAGTCGAATCTGCACCAGACCAACACCTCCGAAACAGCAGTCGGTGGTCAAACGTTCGCAAATCAGTATTCTGTTGCCTCCAGCACTGCACCAACTTCGCAGCCAGCCTCTTACTACAGCTCTCCGTACTATGGATACCAAAATCAAGCTCCAGGCACGCCGACGTCGGCTCCCATTCCTGCCTACACACCCAACCAGCAAGTGCCATCACAGGTCAGACTTTCTTCAACCTGTTTATTGTTTATTAGATTTGTAACCTTTGGATTCTGTAGGTGTACGGTATTTTTCTTTGACTAATGCTCTCTTTTTTTCCCACAAGCGGCTATTCTCTTGACAGTAGTACTTCTCACTCTTGTCTTAAAAGGTGGGAAATTACTCCAGTTGTTGTTCCCAAGCATGCGAGATTTGTCGTCCTCTTCTATTGAATCCGAAAAAACATATATATCAATTTCCAAAATTACATTTTTCTTTTCTTTTCGCAGTATATGACTTACATGCAGGCACGAATGCCAGACACTGCACCCCATACAACCTTCAGCAGTTCGCCCAAAAGAAATGCCAACTCATCAAACGTGGACTTGCTGGCAGGGCTTGATTTCAATGTGAATACGCCACCTCTAATTCCAGAAGCAAAGACCACACAAGTTTCATCAAATGAACCAGCTAAGGTAATTTTTTTTATCAAAGGACTAAATAAAAACCTCGATAATTTAGTTACGAATAAATTAATTAAAGCCGAATATTTAACCTTTTCCTCAGGTTGCTGCGACCACACCTACTCAACCAACTCCGGCAGAACTAAAACCCGTTGCCCCGAAAGCTGCTCCCTCCGAGCAGCCTGCTGAACCTCCTAAGTCGGCTTCTCCGGCTCTCCTCCCCATTCAACCAGCAGCAGTGAAAGAACCTGCTCCGAGCAAAGATCCTTATGCTGAGCCTGAGGCACTTGCCCAGTTCACCCAGGAAGTGGAGAGGCTGGAGAAGGTCGTCGAAGGTTTGAATAACAAAACTTTGAACGGACCCACCCCTCTAGATTTGAAATGGAAAGAACTGCAGGAGTTGCAGGTTTGTCATCTTAATTTTTGCAAACTGAATTTTGTGACTGACTCTTTATGCAATACCAGGAGAAGGACGCTCACAAAAGGAGCATATCAGTGGCAAGGTGCTATCCCATGAAGAACAGGTTCCCGGACATCCTTCCGTTCGACCACTCTAGAGTGGAGCTGCCGTCAACCAAGGACGACTACATCAATGCTTCGTTTATCAAAAACATCTCTGCACGAAGCTGCGACTACATTTTGACGCAGTCTCCTCTGCCTTCAACCTACTTGGATTTTTGGACCATGATTTGGGAGCAGCAAACTGAGTTGATTGTCTGCTTGCTTAGCGATGCTGAGGTAAGGGATAGAAAAAGTTTTGATCTTTTAAAGTAAAAATGATAATTAATTTAATGATTGAAAAATTTCAGCTGAATGGAGAGATTTACTGGCCGACACAACGAGGTGAAGAGTTGGCAATAGGAAAGCTGCGGATTTCTTTGAATTCTGTGAACGTGAAACCCAGCTGGACCGAGAGACTGATTTCCATCACACACCCTGAGACAAAGATTTCAAGAGTACTGGTGCATCTGCAATTTACTGTCTGGCCAGGAAGGTAATCTAGTGGAAATAATAGGCATTTGTTAAGTATGTCACAAATGAATTTTTTTTAGTTCTTTCCCTGACTCTCCGAGCGCATTCCTCTCTTTTGTGGCCGAAGGTTTGAGCCAACATGCTCAACAAAGGTCACCAAAGCACCCAGTGGTGGTGCATTGCCATTCCGGAGTTGGTCGTTCTGGCCTCTTCTGCCTCTTGAGTGCCGCCATGAACGAAATCCGCAGTGGCAATGGCTTGCCCGACTTGCTCACTGTGGCAGCCATCATGTCGCACCAGAGACGGGGCACCCTGAGGGACAGGCAGCACCTGCTTTTTGCCTACCAAGCAGTGCTCTACCATTGTCAGGACCTCCTCATGAAACGTAATTATTTCTCTGAATTTTTGGCATTTTCTGCTTTTCGTTGCTTTTGTTGCTAAGCTAGAGAACTTTGCAGGCGGAATTCTTACTACTAGATCAAGCTTTGATGCTCCGCTTGCGCCGAAAACTCACGTGAGACACCCTTCAGAAGACTTCCTGCTGGGACCTGGTAGTTTGAGCCAGTTGCAGTCCGGAATCGAGAAAATGGGGTTAGGTACTTTCAAAGCTTGAGTGTTTTGTTTCTTTTCAACCCTTTCAAAAAAGCCCGATAAATAACTTATTTTTCATTCCATTGCTTTATTTATTTAAATCATGTAGAAAAAAGTTGCTGAATTATTTTTCTCGGCAAATGATGTTGCTTTGAACTAGAAGTAAGCCATAAAAGGCAGCTGAAGAAGCCCTCCTTTTGTGTTTTTTTCTAGCCATATTGAACGGATTAATAGATAATCTACTAAAACCCGATATAGGTGCGGCAAATATTGAATGGAATGTGCCTCAGCCAGAAACATCGGCCACACCGATATCTGTAGAAGAACCACCAAAATTGGAGCATACGGCTGCACCTCCTGTTTCGTCTTTGTCAGAATTGACCTCTCTTGTACCTGACCTGAGCAACCTGACCCCTAACAAGTCTGGTACGAAGAAAGGTCGCATCTCAAAGGAGGACTTTGAAAAGAAGCCTGGTTCTCTGGCTGGCAGCATCAGTCCGCAAGAGGAGGCCGACCCGCTCAGCAAGCTCGACCCTTTGTGGTCGCTAAAGTGACTAATTAACGCAGTATAATATGATGGTAGAGAGTTAGAGGCGAAAGAAACAAAGTAGGTGCTTATTTATATTTATTTTTTGTTAAAAAATTGATTATTCTCAAATCTGGACGTACATAATTCCGCTTTTATTCATTTTTACTCCACTCTTTGGCTTTTGTATAAAAAAAAAACATGCCAAAATACGCGCAGATTGTTCAAGCCGCTGGTGATAAATAAATTTAGCTTTTGCTATTTGAATCGTAAGAAATTAATCCTGTTTTGCTTTCTCGAGATATCGGTCTAGTTGTCTGATTACCCAGTGGAAAAAGAAGAGAATCAAGCATGAGAATCCAAGTGGAATTGCCGCCGCTTCCGCCCACTGCCACAGTCTGAAATTATTTGATAATTTTTCCAATTCCTTTTTTTTTTTAAAGCCAAATCATCTAACTCAAGCTGATTCGTATAGCAGACAACAATATACTTTGGCTTAATAGAGTAAAAAGTTCTGGCTGGAATAAATGGAAGCTCTATAAATGCACCAGCAACGGTATTAAATACGCCCCTGTTAGATAAAATAAACACACTAGCAATACTTGTATCACAGTTGCATCAGATTCCATCCTGTCAGAATAAAAATACTAGAGATAAAATTTATATTTAAAATTCAGGCACATTCATTTGGAATTGTGAGAGAGCTGCTTTTGGCGGTTGGCAGTGATTGCGAGGCACTCTAATCCTAAGATTAATTCTTAAACTATATACCAAAGCTTTAGGATGGCAAAAGGAACTTTGGTCGTCTGCCTAGCAACTGCAGGAACTTTGGGTTTGACTTGAGATTACTCGTATGGCTGGTCGGAGATGATGAGAGGCAAATTCAAGGGCAGCTCTCCGCAGTCGATGACGACGACGTCTTCAATTGGGTGATCTTCTGTGTCAGTCTTCACCAGTTCAATTTCGTGCACAATACTTTGACCCTTAATTACCTTAAAAAAAGAGGAAAATTGGAATTTATTATTAGGTTCCAGAAAGAAATCAATTTAAATTAAGATAACGTACTTTTCCAAAGACAACGTGTAGTCCATCGAGCCAAGGAGTCTCCACTGTGGTAATAAAGAACTGACAACCATTTGTGTCTTTTCCTGAAATAGGAAGATTACAATAATTAATTAAAATAAGATTTTAACTGCAATCAAACAGCATTTAAATTCTCTGAACAAATCAAAAAAAATATTTATATTTTCACTTATATTATTGTTTGATTTTAATATTGTTAACATATTTTTCATTAATAATTAGAATTGATTTTTTTTTTCATAGAATCTTTTTAATTTCAAATTAAAATTGTTATAGAACTTGTATAATAAATTAAAAAGTAGCTGACATGGTATAATTTTTAAGAAGATTAAACGAATTTAAAAAATAACCATTTCATTACATAAATTTATATTATTACTGTTTAATTTAAATATTAGTAACATATTTTTTAATTAATATTTTAATATTATACAATAAACAAAATGTATAATATATTTAATATTTAAGAAAAAAATTTATATTTTTTTCTAAAATTTTTATCATTGTAAAAAAGTTTGTTAGTCAAATGTTTTAAATATTATTTAATTGAGGACATTTTCCTATGTTATACAGAATTAAATTATATTAAAGAGTTGAGTATATTTTTATATATGGATGATGTCATCGGACATCTGTTTATTTAAGTGTGTGATAAAAAATTCGTGGAAATATTTTACTTCCCGTCTAGAAAAAAGCCCTAGCGAACAATGAGCCCATTAATTATTTATATAATATAGATTTGGGTACGAAAATGTTAAAACTAACCTGCATTAGCCATGCTGACAAACCCTGGGGCGGTGTGCTTTATTTCGAAGTTCTCGTCGGCAAAATATTTGCCATAAATGCTGGTGCTGCCGGCGCCGTCGCCCTTGACGATGTCTCCACCCTGGATCATGAACCTGCGGATGACCCTGTGGAATTTGGTGCCCTTGAACGTTTTGCCGTCAATGCCCACGGTGGCCAGGGTGATGAAGTTCTCCACCGTTTTGGGCACGGTGTCGCCGAACAGGCCGATCACCAGTCGCCCGGCCTCGCGTTCGCCGATCTTGATATCAAAGTAGACCTGCTTGGTGACTTTGAGCTGCTCGGCTTGCTGAATGATTTTTTTTTAATGAAAAAGTGATTTTAAAAGGCTTCGGAAAGGTTTTACCTGGGTGGCGCACACGACGGCGGCGAGGGTGAGGAATTTGACGAACATGGTCATTTCGGTGCTCGACTGCTTCTGATCAAGGGAAGCTGCTGAGTTGGAGCTTTTTGGATGTTTTGTTTTGCAGCTTCTCCTTCTTCTCGTCCTTCTCCAACGCTCTCTGTATACAATAAAAAAGCTGGCGGTTCACAGCATTGGTTCAAAGCGAGGGGGCGAGTGTAGGCAGGCAGGAAGGGGGTGCCATAACAAGATAATAAAAAAGCATCCAGAACAGTTAGTTCGACGAGAGGCGCGCGCATTAATATACAAATGTCATATATACACCCGGTCGCCTCTATATCTACATAAAATTATATAGCACACTGTAGCACACTGAAATATTTTAAATTCACATTTTAGAAACTTGAAACTCATTATGTGCTGCAATATTTTTATTAAGTATGGAATTGAGCTTTTTAATCTTGATTTTTATCAATTCTTTTTTTGCTTCAATTTACTTAAGATTTTAGATGCTTGATTTATTAGAATATTATTTGAAAAATTTTCTGTTCTTACTTTTAATTGCTCTAGATAATTTGTGCATACTAAAAGAATCATTCTTGTGTTGCTTAAGAAACTAATTATCTTAATATCATAATTAATGTTTCCTTAGCATGGATTTTTTCAAACAAAGATTAAGATTGCAACATTGCAATCAGCTTCATCTTGTTAACCGATCGACATGTAACATGTGGTCCAGATGTGGCCCAAAAATAATAATTTGTTGTTTCATTTTTTTCTATAATTATAACCGCGGGCAATTTTCTCGCGAACCGCGTTGCTCTCTCGATCGCACCCGCCGCGTTTAAATCATTTTTGGCTGGTGAACGGCCGACGAAATAACTTTTGCATTAATTTCTCCGCAAGTAGATCGCCCTGAATATCGAAAGCGAGAGGCCAACGACCAGACACTTTTTGACTTCTCTGAAAAAACACTTCATGCAGCCTCTAGTAAACTCAATTTGATTCAACGGCCAGTAATTACAGAGTGTTCTCGGTGCCACAATCTGTTACCAACAAGTAAAGCGAAACGCTCTGCACGACGGTAATTATAATCCGAGTATGGAAATTGCATGCGGTAAATTGGCTCAGCCACCACCATGCAGCTCTGGTTTTTGCCAGGAGAATAAATTGCAACCGAGAACTATACACGTTGAAAAATTTATATTTGATTGCTAAATGTGCGGCCAAATAGAAATAAAATTTTAGGTAGAATGTGAAAAACCAAAATACATATATTGCAATAAACCAACCAAGATAAATGATACAAGATTATTATTAACAATAGATGCGTTATAAATCTCTTCGAGTCAGTTTAAATATATATTATTAATAATCAGAATAATCAATTATTTTAATAATTGCTATTGCGTTAAGTTTGCAAATAAATATTAAAAAAATTAAAAACAATACAATATTTATATAAATTTAAAATTGTAATTATTGTATTTATATTTAAATTTTCCAGGTTCTTAAAAAATTAATTTTATTTCGAATTTGCACATTAATAAAATTAAATATTATTATTTACATTTAAATATTGTTTTATTTGTTTAAAAAACTAAAAAAATTTACCATGAGTTTAAATTTTACAACATGAATATTATTTGTGTGCAAATTTCTTTTAAGAAGCTGTCATAACTATTTTTTTTGTAATATCTGCATAATTTTATTTTGTTATAATTTTACTTGCAATAAAATTTAGTTCAAATTGAAATTTTAAATGTGGAGGTGATTAAATTTTTGCTATCGCTGCGTGTGCTGCAGATCAAGGCTGAATTATGTGCCAACATTGTCGAAATGAAGTTTAAACTCTCTTATAGTACAATTGCTTTAATTTGAAATTAAATTAGACACTTGATTTATTTATTTGGGTGCGTTTCTTATTGATAGGTAGTACTTAAAACAGCTCTAAGCTTTTGAAAGATAAATAAGATAAGAAACATAGAAGGACAACAGCATAAGTGTATAATTTAATGACGCAGCTGTTGAAGTTTATGTTTATAATTAAAAAGTATTCAAATTTGACTTTTTTAATGACTGTTTAAAAAAAAATTCCGTTCATACCCTGAACGTTTGCATTTACAATACCAACTATACACATCTGAGCGAGAGTGAGACTAATCATTTTTTAATTTTTAAATAAATAAATAAATTTATTCTTCATTCACGGTAACATTACATTGCAAAAAGTGTACCAGAATCATCCATTTGCATAAAAAATATTGAACATGCCGGAAAATACAGGGAGTCATTCATTTATGAGGTCATTAAAAGACATGGGAAAAATTTTTAATTAAATTTTAAATCTTTTTGTGATCAATTTTATTTAATTTTTTAAATCTCAATTTCTGCCGCAATAAATTTTATGAATCTTTAGCTTTTTCTGCCAGCAGACCTGATAGTATTTTTACCGGTCATTGCATGCAGGAGCGGGAACAGGACGATGTATGTAGTATGTACATATTGTAATTTGGAATTTGGAGATTGTTTGTGCATCGTGTCTCATCGCAATTTGATGGAAGGAATGCTGCAAATGTTTGCAGTGCGATTGAAGGGGAGGAACTTATGAAATGAGACAAGAGACAAGACGTGGATTTCGGTTGTGCTGTCGGGGCAGGTCAGCGGCGCCGACTCGCGAAGCAAAAGGAACACCAACTTGAAATAGCAGCGAATGTGCAGTGGGGGCGCCGGGCCGAACCGCGACAGCATTGGTGCTCTTTATTTTATAAAGAAAGCGCTCGGCCCTCGACGGACCTCAGTCTTTTCGTCTCTCGCCGACTGACTGCACTCGGGACGTCCAGCCGTCCAGCCCAGAACTGTCTGTCCTTCTCCAAAACTCTGCAAAATCCCGGCTCTGTGAAAAAGGACAATCCCTGCTTTTTGAACTTTTTTGTGCACCAGGATTGGAATTTTTGTGAATCCTCGCTGCTCGGTCAGCTTATCGTTGGCGCCAACAGAGGCTTCTACTAATATTTGTGTTCATCTGATTACTTAGGTAAGTTTTAGTATTTTGATTTTATTTTAATTAACATGTCCATACATAGTTTATACAAAGTTTCATTAACAATAAATGATAATGATATTTAGTATGTAAAATATGGTTAAGTAATAAACAAAATAATAAGGGAAAATATAAGGAAAGTCTAAGGATTCTAAGACTGTATTATTAATTTTTTGTAATTCTCCAAATTGAGAAATTATCATTAAACGCATCAAACGTGACAAAAGTTTGTACAAACTGGTACAAACAAACAAAAAAATTCATTTTTTTATGTAATTTGATTAAATTTTGTTTTTATTATTATTAATATTTATATAAGATAAAAAAATTATAATACTTGTTTGTTTAGTTCAATAATTATCGCATTAATAATTGACATATTATATCTTTCTTTTATGTCCTTTCTTGTTTTTTTCAATGTTGAATTATAAAAAACCAAATACATATTGAAAGCAATTCTTAAAAATTAAAATATTGGGATCTTATCATCTATAAGCGAACAGAAAACTGTATAATATTTAAATAATTTTTCTATTTCCGCAAAAAAGTAGTCTGATTATTTCAATCTCTAAATTGGTTTTGAATATAATTTTTACTGTCAAAATAAATATATATTAAAAACAATAAATTTCGTCGATTAGGCTGCAGTTTAGATGCACTTTAAAATAAGAAAAAATATGGGACCTTTTCGTACTTGGAACTGCGAGAAATAGAGTAATTGATTAATTTGAAAAATTTCCAAAGCTCTATGAATGGCACATGTAACGAAAGTATGAAAAAAAGAGCTTTGAAAAGGATAATTGGTTTAATTGCGCTCTAGATATCAGATGCCATTGACGTTTGATTCGGAATTAATTGAATTTTAAGAAAATAATCTCTTGTCTTCAGAAAACTTTAAAAATTATATAGAGTACGCTAAAATCCGTACTGTACGATCATAATCTCTGATTAGATTTTATTAAAGAAAAAAGAAAACTAAATCCTTCAGCCAGGGTTTGTTGGGTTTTTTATGTTATCTCCAATTGTGGAACGAAAATGTACTTGAGACGAAATGGCAAGTATGATTTTGATGATAAGCCTCCGTAGTGAACGGAAAGCCTCATTTCGGTTCGGACAGCGCCCTTGGCTTATTGCTAATAAGAGCCGGGCCGTTTTTTCACTTTTGATAATTTGAGCAATTTTCTCCTCGCAGATTAAAATTGAGCATTCATTGTTTTGCCCGGGGAAGTAATAATGCTAATGATAATATTAGTCATGATCTGGGTGTGTCGGTCGCTCTCTCGAAAGCATGAGAGCCGGCCGGCCGGCGTGGAGAATTCAAATTTGTGTGTCAACGTCAAGCGTGCTCACATAGCAAGCGCGGCTCTCGACTTTCGTGCCGCTCCAACGCGCGATTCAATCTCTCTTTCACCGGCAGTTGACTGCTTTGGCTGCTCGTTAGCTGACGCAAAAAGCACTAACCACAGCTGTTTTCGGTTTTTCAAAGCACGGAAAATCACAATTAGATCATACTTGAAAGTGGTTTTTATATATGCGAACTCGCAATTGCTACAAGAGTGGTTCGAGCAAAATTCGCCGGCGGTGGGCCGAGTGTGCAAATTTGCATTGGAGTTCAAATAATTTGCAGTGTGCGGGCGGTAGCGCCGTGCTACGGATTTTCGCTGAAGTTTTTGCCGGTGATTCGAAACGATGGACGAATCGTAAGTACAGAATCCAGCATCTCAGATAAGATTGATGGTTAATTAATAATTTTATAACAATTTATTATAATTTCACTATTACATTGGAATTCAATCGTTTCACTTGGTGTAAATTATCAAGCCTGCTTCGATTCTACCGGTTTCTGCAAATTAAAATATTTTACTTCAGTGGAAAATACAAGTTTTTAATGTTTTTATAATTCCAATTAAATAAATATTCCCTGCGTTTGCTAACTGTGGACTAAAATGATCAAAATATTTAAATAAAGTTGCTACTGAAGTAAAAAATATGAAATTAAATTAAAAAAATCACACAATCACCTTTAAATATTATATCATAAGTTTCCAATTCAATATATTTTTCAGGCTAATGCGATCTTGTACAGATGATTGATTTTATTAACTTTAAATAATATTAGATTATAACACATAAATACAATCCAACGTGCGGCCTTATTACAATAATTATCTCCGAGTGACCGCGTTGAGCATTGAAAATAAATTGAGGTCATTTCGTCGTTACTTGATGGCCGTTTGTATGCGCTGTTGTTCGAAAGTCAACTCTTTCCACAAAGGTGCCACATTTTATTTCTTTGGCCATATAATGCATCATTATATTATGACCGTAAATACATCCAATGCAAGCTCTTTGATGTGCATGCCTTTTCAATTTGAATAACGTCGAGCTAGAGCGCGCGTGCACGTAATTAATTAAAGCAAGTTTGAGCGACCAACTGCACGATCAATGCTGGATGTTTCCATAAAGCACCTGCGGTGCGAGCTGCAGGTTGTTCTAATTAAATTAAACAAACTCATAAATTTCATAAAGCCAGAATAATTCAAGTTACGTGTTTGTTTTTTGCCGAATTATAAATCTTGTAATTCAAAGTCATAAACTTTATGACGAGTAACTTTGAAATTGATTGTCTTTTTATTTGCTTATCGATAAATTATTCTGTATACAGTCTAGACATATTTACATTATCAAACATTTAGTTTAGCATTTTAATTAGTAATGTCAGTGTATGAATGGACAACAACAAACAAATTAGTAAATTGAGTGAATGAAAAATAATCTGGCTAATAAAAATATAAATATATAAGTATAGGAAATAAAATAATTTATTAATTTTATGGAGAAATAATTAAAATGATTTCCTCAAATTAGTCTGGAATAAATTTAATGAACTAAATTCTAGAATTTTCAATGGATTTTACTAAATTCTAAAAAATCCGCGTGCAAATTGATTCATGGGAAACGCTTTAATATTTTGCAATTCAAAATGCAGATTGGCAAATTACGACAAGCGTTGGGAGCTGGTGGAAGGTCAGGTGTGACTTGATTCCCGTCTGGCGATTTTGCGTGAGTGCTGTGCTGGTGGTGGTGCATTTCAGCGTCTCGCCGAAGCACCTGATCGACTTGCACTCCGTCGCCTGTTCCTCCAGCTCTTGTTATTTATTGCACACACGCACCACGCAAGGGATAGGCCATGGTTCGATCCCCACCTTCGCTTGCTCGCGTTGGACAAGTGCAAAAAATTATACCAAGACCTGTCTGGCAGCCAACTGCTACTTGATTCGCCAAATTTGATCTGCGGCACGATAAATATTAAGCAATATTTCTTTTGTCAATTTGACGCTGCCCTCTAATCTAGGATGACAATGGGAGATAATTAGCAGTGATTATTTTGCATAATTCAAGTGATTGTGTAAATTCTTTGGCGGTTTTATTTGAGGTACCTGTAAAAATTTTCAAGTACAAAATCTACTTCAGCCTAAAACAAGTTATATAACATTTTAGACTGTAAAAATTTGTTTTATTTACTGTTTTGTCCCAAATGTGTCTTACGCCTTACATGATAATACAAATTTAATTAAAAAATTCGATTTATATTAGTTTATATTATTCATTATTATATATGCAATGAAATCACAATGTCGGGTTTGATATAAATTAGTAAAATCTAATTTTTTTTTTTAATTAATTATATTATTTGCTGCTCTTCAAAGAAATAAAATTTTTTCACTGTGCTTATAGTTAAATTTGTGCTGCTCTTATATATTTTTCAATAATATATAATCAAAGCAAATTGAACTAAAATTATTATTTCATGCACAATTCCTTTTATCCTTTAAAATTTACTGCATAAATACACTTCATAACTTTTAATTCTGGGGATGAATAAATTTGATAAATTGTACAAACTCTTTTTAAACGGTTTTTAATTAAAAAATTTCATGTCTCTATAAAAATACTCCAAAATATAAATTTTCAAGTATTGGTTTTATTGATACTGTTTTCTACTTTAAACCCTAGTTTTGTTTTGGCTTTTATGCCTCTTTTTTACCTTCTTTTGCTTGACTGCTGAATTGGTTTTGGCGCTGACGCTTTTTCCCTAACCCCGCTTTTCTGCTTTGCATGTTTTCAGCTGGTCCGTCTGCTTAGCCTCCTCTTCTGGTCACAATGGGCTGGAATACAAGATTCGTCTTGCCTCGGTGAGTACCACATGCCGCTATAGCCGCTCTGCTTTTTTTCCCTAACCACACCTGCCTAATTACAATTTAATTAATGCTGCGCGTGTTTTCCACGGAAATTGATTCGCGAACGTTTGCCAATTCTCATAAATTACTCCAGGGTTGACGATGAAAATCCTTTTGTGGCGGAAAACATGTTTTGAAAGTCGTAAAATTGCAAAACGGAGAAGCCTTTTTCCGCCGCCGCGGAGATTATTAGTTTGAGGCACTGAAACGGCCGCCCTCGTTGCGTGCCCGGCAATAAATCCATTACGCGCGGTTGCTGCACAGACTGCCTGTGTTATGGTGCGACCTTCGCAATGTGTACGATTTTTTACCACTGTGTTGGCGCAGGGATTAAGTGGAGCAAAAAGTTCCACCAAACTGAGAAATTTATAGCGGGTGAAGATTTGATGGTGTAATTTAATGCTCTTTTTATGTAATATTAAAAACTCTATTAATGTAAGTCGACCTTTAAAATTAAGTCAAAAGATTTAAGAAAGAATTTTTTTGTTTACAAATAAAAATCTAAAAAATAAACCTAAAACACAAAGATTTTTAAAAGCTTAAGAAAATTTTATTTCTCTTGATAATAAAAATTACTGTGACAAACTCGATGTGGATTTCATGAATAACTGAAACCAAGCAAACCTCGTTGCAAAGGAAAAATGAAAAAAAAAAAATAAAAATAAAAAGGACTGACTATGTAAAAAAATAAAGTTAAAATGGGAAGAAATTAATTAAATTTAAAAAGTTGTTCTTTATTTGATAATTGTTTCTTTGTAGCGAGGTTCACCCTCTGCAGTTTCAATTTTTCATTATATTTATTGAAATATTTTTCAGATTTAAGTGTTTAAGTGCTGGGCTTATAAATATTACACGTGTTTCGTTTTGAACTTTGACTTTTGGTAAGGAGATTGCGAGTCAACCATCCTCTTCGCTTTGTCAATTAAAGGGAAATAAATTGAAGAAGCCTTTCAATAAAAACGAGCCGTCTGATGGCGCCGTATCAATTCTCTTGGTATAAATATGTTTATTTGCGCACACGAACTTTCCGTGCTGCCAGCAACCTTTTGATCAAGTGGAAATTTTGCCCTTGCATAATCATAATAAAAAAAGAAAAAAATTGAAATCGCGTTTCAAAGGGTTTTCCTCCTTCGATTTCCGAATACCGATTTGCAGACGGCGGCGAATCGCGAGCGGATTCGAAGAAGGAGAAAAGAATGCGGGCCATTTCCGAGAAAATGAATCGCATATGAGAAAAAGAAACGAGGCAAAAGGGTTCATGGCAGATCATTCGCGTTTTGCTTTTTGCGCCGGCCGGCGGCACTCAAGGTTCCCAGCCGTTGATCGCAGAGCACAATCGCAGCCTCTCTCCTTATTGCAGACTCTGAGATGCTCTTGTTCCCATTTGAGCGCTGGATCTGCAGGGTTGTGTTTGGGTACATTATGCGCCGAGCCGGTTTTAATTACACACCAAACACACGCTGGCTGCTGATGAGTCTGGGCCACAAGGCGAGATTTATTCGCACTTGAATAACCTGCGTCTAAGGTTTCCAAAGGGCCAATCTGCAGCAGTCTGGCCGCGACAAAGAAAGTTCAAACAATACGTTGTGCAACTAAATCTCGCAAGCCGAACTCAGTTTGTAATTTACTGATTGTGAGAGCTTTTCTACTTAGTAATATAGCTTTTATTTCTTCCAAATTAGAAAATATTCACATTCTTTTGCTGAAAAAGTAAAATAAAATTCAGGTTATGGAAGAAATTTACTTTTAAATAAATTTTTTGGTTTGATAGAATAGTCTTAAACCATTTTTGCCAGCATAAGATGAACTTTTATGAGTTTCAAATAATTTAAATTTTAATTTGTATTTAAATTTTAACAGAAAGTTCCTTCTCTCAAATTACATTTTAGTCCATTTGATATAGTAAGGTTGTGCTAATCATCAATATAAATAATGTTACAATGAAGTTTAATTTTAAATTTTATAGTGTTATTAAGGCAAACAATTACATCAATTTTAAAATTATTAATTGAAAATAATTTAAATATTATTTTTAATTATTCAAATACATTATTATATGAAGTATAAGAACAATAAAAAAAATTTTATAAATTATAATCATATATTATGTTATTTAATAATTTAAAATTTATTTTAAGTTGCAAGTAATATTAATTATTTATGTATCGCTGAGGCATTTTACTATTTTATTTTGTATTATTGCATGGTCGAAATATTATTATTATTTCTTAACTTCTTTTGTTAACAAAAAGCAGAATAATTTTAAAAAATAGGAAATCTTTATCAATAAATTGTTCCAAATTTCAAATTAAATATGAATGATGATCTGAGGAAGTTATCAATGGAATAAAAAATCTGACTATTTATTAAAAGTTCAAGACAGATTTTGCTTGTTAATTGAAAATTTTGCAAACCTTTTTTCCTGATGTCAAATTTTATGCACGATTATTTTATTGTACATTATATATTGTCATTGTTTTGACTGAAAAAATATCAACGGTCCAATCGCGTGTGCTTAATTCCTCTTTTCAACTTTCCAGGAGTTTTTAAGGTTCTTAATTTTTTTTTCTCATTTTTGTAACATAATTATGATATTTGATAAAAAAATGAATGAGACGTGCGTTTGGCGCCGCGTGCACGCTCGCGTTCCCCTTTGCCGCTGCATCATCCCCGCCACCGAAACGCACAATATCGAATACACACACACGGCAGAGTCGTCAACAACAAAACAGTCCCCTCGGCGATCCGGTGTTGTCGGTCGGGCAGCGCGCTTTCCAGCCATCCTTCCTTTCGCTCACCGGCGTCTGCCGCGTTCGGTTCGCTCCGAGAAGAAAAACGCTTTCCCGCGCCAGCCACCAAAAGAAAGTCCAGCAGTGCTTTTTTCTTCCTTTTTCACCAACACCGGATTTAACGAGACTGGACGAACCCGTTCTCGGACTTTGGAATTAAAATCTGTTCCCACCGAAAAGCAGAAGGAAGAGGAGTCGCGCGTGAGCGACCACCGTACAATCAGCTGTTCTCTCCGCCGAGTAAAAAAATTATAACAATTTCTTCAGGAAAAAATAGTGCAATTTGGAATTTGTTTTTGAACGGTTTTCAAAAGGATGGCGCCCACACCGGCGGAAAGAAGGTATTTGAGAAATTTTTTTTAAATTTTTGATTCTGTTACATAATTTACAAAGCGCCCTCGCGGCGTGGCTGGCGAGCTCGGCCGCCTGTTGCTAGGGTGCACCCCCACCTTGGGGGAAACGGGATGCGCGCGCGAAAGGTGTTTTTTCCCCATTCTCTCTCCGACCCACCTGTTGAAATCCCTGAACAACGTTCTGGCAAAATCGAGCAGCGTGAGCTCTTTTTGTCTTTTATTCGATACACTTTTTTATAGAATCGGCGCTGCATCGGCGCTTTTTGTTGGCTCAGGTCGATGCGCTTTTATTCGAAATGGATTCGTCCAATCTAGCGGCAGCCACGTGCTCCCGCTTCCTATTCGGAGAAAATGAGTCGAGAGAACTGCTTCCTGCTCTTGAAAAAATCTCGATAAAAGATAAAAGAGTAACAGTTTGAAGCGGAGAAAATGAAGGTTCAAAATCCTACTCGGAAATGTTTTTCATTTCTCCTCAAAATATGCTCATGATTTTCCTTCCCTATATCATACTTTTAGATAATTTTACGATAGAGAAAATTAAAAAAAAGCTTTCCACTCATAATATTTAAAATACATATTATTTCCATTTCCATAATGGGGAATGCCCAATCAGTAGCATAAAGTTGATTTTAGTGTTGTCATTTTTTTCATGTTTGGTTTGAATCCGAAATTTGTGCCATTTGTGGTAAACAAAACACTATTTTGTGTTAATACGGTTAATACAATTACAATATGTGTGTATTTTAATATTTAAATTATAGTTTCTCTAATTTCACTAAATAAGTAAGATTTTGCTTCAAAATAATGATAAATCTCTATTTCTTAAATATTTAAATATTATGGTGGGATGAAATGCGATATTATATTTGTTTACAAATAAAAATTTGTATAATTTAATTTTTTTTACTATCAGTTTATGATCAAACAGATGCAGGCATATTCAATATTAAAAAAAAAAAATTATTGCAATAAAACATTGAAATAATAATTAAATGAAATAATTAAACACAAAAATCAATTGCCTGTTATTAAAATATATTTAAATTTTATATTAAACAATTTTTTAACAATTGTTTATATTTATATTATTTACATTGTTACACATATCTTTTATTCAAATCTTTATGAAAACTAGTTGTTATAAATTTGGAATTACGCTTTAACGTTGATCTTAAGTAATAACAAACCGACCAAATGTCTCCATGAGATCATTAACCCGAACGCAGCGCCGCGGTCGAAAAGGAGTCAATAAAATTTGGGTGCAGCCAACGCTCCTGCAGGAAGAGGAATTCCGTTTTGAGGCAAAACGCGCCGACATTAATTTTGTCCTCGAAAAAACAAGCGTCAAACAAAAACACCGGGGAAAGAGCACGTGCGCGCGGTGCCGCGGTTGGCGCCGCGCCACGAATTTACTTCTTCCCTCTCTCGCGAGTACTATACACATATTTGTATGATTTCTAATGTTGGAGTTGCAGCAGCCAGTGCACCGTTTAACCTTTGAATATTTCGAGAGGCGTCTTTAAAATAGAGCAGCTAAGGGCGTTGAACACGGTGCGCGAGAGAGCAGCCTTCGATCTTCCCTCCGACGCGGCGGCGGCGGGCGGCTCTAGACCTTGAAAAGTTTACGTGCGTTGAGAGACGATCTGGTGGTAAAAAAGATTGAGTTTCGCGCTGCTGGAAATGCGAGACTTGTGCCGATTAAACTGCGGCCATGCCAGACCGACCCTCGCAACAATGCCCCCGATCTCGCCTTGTCCGACACGTGTAAAACTTTTCGCCTCTCCTTCTTAATTCCTTCTCCCGTCGCGAAAAATAGGGTTAAGCGTGGGTATATCTTGGGCTGGTGATGTCATGAGCCGAGGAGGATGTTTAAACGCTTTTGGTGCGCAATTCCCTCTGCCAGAGTCACGCAGCGAGGGCACCGGCCTGATGGCCTTTTTCAAGGGAAAATCTCAAAGTTGATCGTTCTCACGTCTCAATATTCTTGACCAATTGTTAATTAGAAATGATTGCTTACGTAGAAAAAATCTACAATTTAAGCAGATCAGAAAGTAAAGTACGTTACTTGAACATCTTTTGCTGGTAGTCTTATTTTTAAGACTTACAAAGGCAGATTCATAGTCGAAATAGCTGAAAAATATTCAAAAAAATTTTCCCTGTTGTGCACATAAATGCACACAATGAAGGCTTAAAATAAAAACTTTCCATTTTAAATGTTTAGTTTTTGAATAAAAACAATTTTTTACAACCAGGAAAACCCGAGTTCTTCACTTCCATGATCATCTCCTCGAGTGTCAATTTCTTCAAACAAATTTAAGTGTTATTTTCCTTAAATAAATAGACTAAAAATCAGTTGATGTGAGTGTTTTTTTTTTAATTGAAAGAAATCAGTAACATTTTATATTTAATTTAATGCAATGTTTGCCGTCTTTTTTGTTTTGTGCAAATCAGTGGAATTCTAGGAAATTTAGTAGAAAAAGTTGTCGTTTCTTAATTTAAAATTGAATATAATCATGTGAATATTTAACATTTAGGTAGGTTCTTAATTTGGAATTAATTTTACTTCCAAATTAGGTATATGCGCTTTAAAGTTTTTTACTGTAGATCTGGGTACAATTCTCTTCCAGTGTAATTTATATTTTGTTTTAAGCTAGAGAATAAATTATTCATTGGGGCTCCTGTTTCAAGTCAATATTATCTAACAATAAGCCGTGAAAAATATATAAATGCTCAAAATAACGCCTTCATTTATAGAAAAAACTGAAATTCCTTTCCTAACGTTCAATAATTTTGCTTAATCACAGAATGTTGAATTAAATTAATTAAATTTCATGGACTGTTCTGATCATGAGCTATCAACAACGTCTACCACAAAATTAGACATTCAACGACCTTATTGATTGATCAAAAAGTTTCTATGGAATTGACCGGGTGATTAACCCAAGCAAAAGTTCTATACCGGCAAAGTGAAATGCGTCTGAAAGTTCTCGAATCGCTCGGCGGCCGTTTGATGATGGAGGGAAGCCGGCCGTACGGGTGTGCGTCTAGACGCCAGTCTGCCTCGCTCATTCGTTTTGTATAATAATATTCATTCGCAGCGGCTTCTTGTGAATTTTTTTTTCTTGATGAATCGCCGCGCCGCAAAACGAGCGCGCGAAAGAAGTAAAGAAAAGGTATAACAAACTGATCGCCCCTTCCCCTGCCTTCTCATTGCCATTCACGTGGCTGCCAAGTGATCATCTCTCGTTGTTCGCGCGCACCGCCGCCGCCACAATGAAAGAAAAAATGAGAGAGGAATTCGCGGCCGTCGAGGTGAAAAATCATTTTCATTATTTATTATAATCGAATGCGGCGCGCGCTCGCTCACAGGCGGGAAGCCAAAGAAAGAGAGAAAAAAATTGTTGGTCCGCGAAGTGCAAACGTCGCTTTCTAGATGGCATTTTTATCGAGCCCGCGAGCTGCGAGTCTTTGCATAATAAGAATAATTAATTTTTCTTAACAGGTGCAAGCTCAGTAATTATAGAGTTGGAGGGAATTTGTTTCAAACAAACCTAAATTCTGGAAGAAGTGTTATTTTTGAATTTTTTCGAATTGCACGGGCACAGCTTTTCTGCTAATCACTTGCATGAGAATGGGCATTAAAAGTCTCAATGTATAGAAAGAGGCTTTGAATATGACATTGATACCTTTTTCGCTAAAAAATTAATGGTAGTTCAAATTTCAAATCAAATTTTATCAGATGTTTTTTGGCTTTTAGAAATTCTTTGATAAAGACAAGAAACAATAAAAAAATAATTAAATACTTAATGCATCATTTACAATAAATAATTATACGTTTTTGCTATTATAAATAGTTTTTTTGTAGATTAATTATTATTATTATTATTTTTTTTTTTTGATCATTTAAATATAAAAAGTAATTTAAAAATAAAAATGTAATCAAATGAGATTTTAAATAAATACTTTTAGCGTAAGCAAAAGCTGAATATTATAAATAAGTAATCCAATTTGTAATTCAAATAATGATATAAAAACTTATATTGTCGACCTCAAGACGATGTGTGAAAATGAGCGACCATATTTTCAATAATGAAATCTCATAAATACCAATATTAAAAATTAAGCAACATTATTAAATAACAAATGTTTAATCGGTGATTGATTATAAATATAATGCTTGAAAAATGCCCGATGTTTTCGTGGAATCAATTAATTTCTCATGAAATTATTAGCCAGCTGCAATTTTTTGTAAGTAAACATACATCAAGCTAGGAAGTTTCCTAATGAAAATGAAAAAAATTAAGTTTGAAAAAAAAATCAATCAAAGTCATCGCTCCCTAATGGCGCTACTGCTTGATTGAACTGCTGCGTGGCTGCAATTGGACCGCCCAATATACTGCCGCCTCGAAACAAACAGCAGGGGCGCTGCTCCAATGTGGCCTTATTCAATTAATCTGTGGCAGCCACTTCATGTACTGAGATGGGCCGCTTTAATGAGACGCAGCTTCTTCGGTGCAGCACCGCGAAGAGCGCGTCACTTCATTTCCGCTGCTCTCTGCTGTGCCACTCGACCAAACCACGTCACTCGTCCGCTTCAGCTTGGGTGTCGCGCGATTGCTGCACACGCGGCTTTTCCTTCCTCGCAAGCGTTTTTTATCGTCGCCTCCGCCACAGCTGATCGCTCTGAGGCGCCACACTCGATGATACACTGGAGGGACCTTTCAACTTCTCTCTAAACATACACGTCATTATCATTATATATTTTTCACTTTGCATATGAAGCTGCTCACTCCGATGAAATAGAGTGAAATGGAACGTTTCAAGTACATGTGATTAAAAATATCAAGTTGCAATTTTTTTGTTTATTTATTGCATTGTAATGTTAATCCGAAATTATGAAAAAAAAATCTAAATTTTAATTTTAAATCACTGACTCTCAATATGAAATAATTGCAAGAAACTTCTGCTGATAAAAATGAAGCACCAAT